GCGGGCACCGCCCAGGGCCGGTGGGAGCCACGGGGCACAGGGCTGGTGGGCTTTGCTCCTCTGCCACCGCAGCGCGCTGGTGGCACGGGGCTGTGGTGGCTCCGGTCGCAGTGATGCTCGCACCAACAGCTCAAACCTGGGCACAGGAATCAGGATTGCGCCACCAAGCAGTCCCACGGGTGGGAGGGCTGAGGGTCTCCTCCCCATGCCAGGATGGGCACGCGGCGCTGCAGCAGAGGTCCCGCACGGCTGGGGGGCCGCGGCCCCCGTCCGGGGTGCGTGCGCGGAGGAGGGATCTTTGCACGAGTCACTGTTCCTGCGCGAGGCTCTGGCGGCCCTTTGGGTGTAGCTACTGGGTGAAACACAATACCGTCAACAGCACGATCCTAATACTGGTGCTTGCAGTAAACCTTTCTGATGTGTGATCAAGCCTCAAGGATAAGATGTTTATTATTTGCCATGTAACCACGTGGCTGTTCTCCAATGCAAGGAAAGGCCAAATTGCACTTGTAATTCAAAGGGACCCAAAGCCTTAATGCTGTAAAGAAGCACGCTAATGATGCCCAGCAGGCACAGGGCATGCAAGTGTGGCCCAAAGGTTGTTGATGGCCTTCCTATGAACCTCCTCAGTGTGTGACAGGTCCTTGCCTGTGGCCAGCAGAGATGTGATCAAGATGAGGGACGCCTGTGTGTTCATTACGCTGCCTACGCCTCCACTGACACACTTTACATTTAAAATACTGTTTCCATTGAGCTGGAGCATAAACACTGAGCGTGTGGACTTGGGGAGCTCCATTAGCAAATGCAAATCGTTCGGTGCTTTGTCCTCTGCACGCAGAAGTCTTCAGAAGTCCACGGTCCCCATCTGCCCCAACTCTCGTTAACTGACAATGAAGGCTTTGCAATGCACGTCTAGTTATTTACTTATTTATTTAAATGCACCACCTGTAGTGAAAGAAGCAATGTTCAATTCTAGAACTGACCGAGAAGTTGTGTCTGCTCCAAAAACAAAAGCAGAAGCAGTACCTGGTGCACGCAGGCATGTGGGATGCAGAGGGAGAAGAGTGTGGCCGCGGTCCTGGGGGTGAGAGCAGGTAAACAAAGGTATTTTACAAAAAAAACTGATACAAGAATTGTTGATAAGAAAAGCTGACCCACAAGCTAATTGAATCATGCAAATAATCGTTTAGCCACCAAAACAACACCTAAAGGCTTCAACAGCTGACTGGAAAGGAAACGTGATGGGCAGGTGGCTCCTCTGAGCGCAGCCTAGCCTAGGCTCCAGCCTAGCGCGGGCTGGTAGTAATGAGCCCTAGCCCTCCTCCTGCCTAGCTACACTAACCCAAGTAGTAAGTAGTTATATTTATCAAAGACCATTTGCTGCAAGTGATTAACGTTAATTTGATTTCCTGTGAGTCAATTTCCTTGAGATATGGTAAATAGGCTATTACCTGTTATTGACCTTTACTTTATTAAAAAGACTTAAAATTAGCATTTATATATATACATCCTTCCAAAAAGTTTTTTTAATAAAGAAAAATATTTTTATAATCACGTTATACTTGCTAGCTGAGGCTGTAGTTCCAAAGTTAATGTTAAATAAAGATGGTAATTAAGAGTGAATATGATGATGATTTTTAAATTCATCTAACGGACTGACCCCTTCCTTCGCCTCCACTTGAATTTCTGCTCCCGAGCAGAGCAGGGTGGAAGCGGAGGCAGGGGCTGGGGGGCAGCCTGCGGGCGGGAAGCCCCTGCCTGGCCGGCGCCTGCTCCTGCTCCTGCTCCTGCTCCCTGCCAGGATGCACCTCACCCAGGATTTCCAATCTTCGCCGGGCAAGAGGGCACCACAAGCTACCGGTATTTAAAGAAATGCTCAGCTCCTGCTTGGTGACAGCTTGCACTTCTGGTAGCCTACTCATCTCCTAGGTCTGACTTAAACTGAGCAGGAAGAAATTACGTCAACGTTTGATCATGAAAGCAAAAAGTTTATTCATGTTTGAAACTACATATAACTACCACGAGGAAGACTTTTCAATCCAGGGTGTAATCCAGTTAGAAAGTAACACGAAACGGTTTAATACATTAGAATCACTGCCACAAATTATTTTCATGACTCAATCAGTTTCAGAATCGCATACAATACAAAAGAGAGAAAGAAAGGGCCCCCTGTTACACAGGGGGAAATATACAGTACTGAATACTGAAGTCTGTATGCATTACAATTAGTTGTTGGTTTTTGCGT